TGAGTGCAAACAGAGACAAGATTGGCCTAAGTGGAAAGATGCAATCCAGGCAGAATTAAATTCCTTGGAAAGGCGAAGTGTTTTTAGACCAATAGTCCAAACCCCGCCTGATATAAACCCCGTGGGTTACAAATGGGTATTCGCAAGGAAACGCAATGAGAAAAACGAGATTGCTAGATACAAAGCACAACTCGTTGCACAAGGTTTTTCACAAAGACCTGGAATTGATTATGAGGAGACATACTCTCCTGTAATGGACGCAATTACGTTCCGTTACTTAATAAGTTTAGTGGTTTCAAAAAAGCTTAACATGCGACTTATGGATGTCATCACTGCGTATCTATCTGGAGAATTAGATACTGACATATACATGAAAGTCCCAGAATGACTTAAGTTGCCTGAAACAAGTAACAAACCACAAGGTATGCTCTCGATCAAATTAAGGCGATCATTGTATGGGCTGAAACAATCTGGACGAATGTGGTATAATTGTCTCAGTGAGTATTTGATCAAAGAAGGATATATCAACAATGTCATTTGCCCTTGTGTGTTTATTAAGAAATCTAACTCTGAATTTACTATAGTGGCAGTATATGTTGATGATATGAACCTAGTTGGAACACCTGAAGAGCTTCATAAAACTGCTGAATATCTGAAAAGCGAATTTGAAATGAAAGATCTTGGAAAAACAAAATTTTGTCTCGGCCTGCAGATCAAGCATTATGCTAGTGGAATTTTGGTCCACCAATCAGCTTACATTGAAAAAATCCTGAAGCGATTTGGTATGGACAATACTTATCCACTCAGCACGCTAATGGTCGTTCGTTCTTTGGACATTAAGAAAGATTTATTCCATCCAAAAGAAGATGATGAAATGGTCCTTGGTCAAGAAGTACCATATCTGAGTGCAATAGGTGCTTTGTTGTATTTAGCACAATGTACTAGACCAGATATAGCTTTTTCAGTCAACTTGTTAGCCAGGTATAGCTATGCTCCAACAATCCGTCATTGGAAGGGTATCAAAGATTTAATGCGATACTTTCGTGGGACAACATATATGGGTCTCTTCTACTCAATGAATTCCACAAATGACCAAGTCCTTGTCGGACATGCAGATGCTGGTTTCCTTTCTGATCCGCATAAAGCCCGCTCACAAACTCGATATGTGTTCAAGAATGGAGATACAACAATCTCATGGCGCTCAACAAAGCAAACCTTAGTTGCTACATCTTCAAATCATTCAGAAATACTTGCTTTACATGAAGCAAGTCGTGAATGTTCTTGGTTAAGATCAATATCCATCATATTCGGAATTCATGTGGTTTAACTTCGAAGATAGATAATCTAACTGTCATTCATGAAGATAATGCAGCCTGTGTTGCCCAAATGAAGAAAGGATTCATCAAGGGCGATAAGATTAAACACATATCTCCCAAGTTTTTCAGTGCACATGAGCTTCAGAAGGCTAAAGTTATTGAAGTCAGACAAATCCATTCTAATGAAAATCTGTCAGACTTGTTCACCAAGTCTCTACCAAAATGCACGTTTAAGAAGTTAGTGCAAAGTATCGGATTACGTCGACTTACCAAACAACTAAGTTTGGAAAATGCGGTATCAGGGGGAGATACATATCAGGGGGAGCATCCATGATACATGCCTGTTGTACTCTTTTTCCTTCGATTAGGATTTTTCCCACTGGTTTTTTCCTATCAAGGTTTTAACGAGGCAATATAAGCATACTTAACCCTATATCAACAATCCAGGTAAAGTTGTACTCTTTTTCATTCGCTATGGTTTTTTCCCACTGGGTTTTTCCAAGCAAGGTTTTAATGAGGCAACTGATGTTGATATGTGGGCATCCAATGGGGAGTGTTGAAAATATCAGCATTGTTGACAACGTTGGCTGATAATTGAATGCCCACAGATGGATTTTCAACATTACAGACTAATGAAAATATGGGCAGTAGACTTTGAAATTGTAGGAATCACATTTTCAAAGTATATGCTGTAAATTTTGAATGTACAATTAATGGGTTTGATCGGAGCTGCTCTATAAATAGAGCACTCTGTATGCCTACAAGAAGATACAGAGAGAAAGCATACAGAAAGAAAGAAATCTCTTCCTCCATCTTTTATTTGTCATTCACTTGAGCTATAGTTTTAGTGTGATATTTTACATCTGCTTCGCACCTATCTAAAAGGTTATCTCTCTAACTTTGACATATTTATAACAAAGCTTTATTAGTTTTTTTTTTATTTTTCCTTTTGTCTTCTTTTCAAGGACTATGTTTGCTACATCATCACTTAATGGTTAACTTAACAGATTTTTTAACGAACTAATGAAATTGAAATAAAGGAAAATTAATGAAAAATACTTCAATAGTTTGAATTTTAACCAAAAATCATATAATAACTTTATTTAATGGGTATGACATAACCAAATATAAAGCAGCCCAATAAGACTGGGTCAAACAAAATAGTTTATCATGCTACCGATATTACCCCAAACGTCAAACCCTCGCCGTTGCTTCTGCCTCTTTTCCTCAAACCCTCGCTAGTGTTTGCACTACTTCAGCTCCGTTGCTTTTCAACTCCATGGGATTTTTCAACTCACAGCAAGAAAACCCACAAAGGTCCACACCTTGCTTTTCTACTCCATGACTTTTGTCTTATATGTCGAATTCTTTTTTGGCTAAATCGTCAAAATGGTCCCTGAGATTTGCATAACTCATCACTTTGGTCCTTGAGATTCCAAATCGATAAAAGTGGTCCCTGAAATTGTCCACCATCTATCATTTTAGTCCTTCCGTTAAGTGTCCTGGAGGAAGTTTAGGCAATTTTTAAAGCTTCGTAACTCAATCGTTTTCTAACCAAATTCGACCCATAATATATCAAAATAAAGATAGAAAAGTTTAGAATAAGATTATACCTATTTCGAAGCCCAATGGTTGCCGGAGATGGCCGAAAAATAGCCTCAAAGTTGACTGGTCCGAGCGAAAACTGGAAAACTCGCCGGAAACTGGGTAAACTTTAAACGTTCATAACTTCTTCAATACTCAACGAAATCAAGTGATTCAAAACGAAAATCATACTTCTCGACGAGACAAAGCAAACAGTACCTTTATCGACTGCTAGATCGTCGTGGTTGGCCGAAAAACGGCTCGAAAGTGGCTAACTCGAGATCAAGACAGCCACTTTCAAGCCGTTTTTTGGCCAAAACATGGTGAGTTAGCTGTCTAAAAAGGTATCATGCTCTTTGTCTCATCAAGAAGTATGATTTCGTTTTTGAATCACTTGATTTCGTTGAGTATTGAAGAAGTTATGAACGTTTAAAATTTACCCAATTTCCGGTGAGTTTTCAAGTTTTCGCTCGGACCAGTTAACTTTGAGGCTATTTTCCAGCCATGTCTGGCAGCCATTGGGCTTCGAAATAGGTATAATCTTATTCTACACTTTCCTATCTTCATTTATGAGTCGAATTTGGTTAAGAAACGATTGAGTTATGAAGCTTTGAAAATTGCCCAAACTTACTCCGGGACACTTAACGAAGTTTTTGTCGGAATGACCAAAATGATGAATGGTGGACAATCTTAGGGATCACTTTTATCGATTTGGAATCTCAGGGACCAAAGTGATGAGTTATGCAAATCTCAAGGACCATTTTGGTAATTTAGCCTTCTTTTTTTGCTTGATTTGTGTTTGATTGAGATGATGAATGTAAGGTGGCTCTATAAGGTTATCTTGGGTTTCTCTTCTAAAGCTTCATAAAACTCCTCAACATCACAAATTTTTTGAAATTGCTCGAAATCAACCGGCAACACCGCCAAACTGCCCATCCTTCATCTACACCAAATGCCATTCCAATTACAAATTACGAAATTTAGCCTCAAATCCAATGTTTCATAAACGCTAAACTCTAATTAATGCAATTGATGGCCAATACCCGTAATCGGTGTAATCAAATTATACATTTGGTGTGAAATTAATAGATTTCATAGAAAGAGCTTCATGCTGTGTACGTAGGGAAGTCCAGGAGAAGATACTTGGTCAGCGCGAACTTCGTTGACCACCCCCATCATTCAGGATCTGGTGGACACATCATCCGATGAGGTTGTGGTGGCTTGTGAGGTGGTGATGTATGAGCACTACTTGTGGATGCTTAAGAACTACACTTGCTGAGTTTCTACATTAAGCTTGCTAATTAAATTTGTAAATTTAGATTAACGTAGGAATTAATATTTATTTTTGTAGTTTTTGTGTGTGTGTGGACTGACTGCTGCTATGTGTGTACCTACGTATGTATGTCCATTTGAGACTGCGAGATTTAACCCATTTCATTTAGAACGAATGGAGATCGATCGACCATGTTAAAGTACTTGGTTAATTATAAATTTTCATCATTATAATTTGGGTAAATTACACAAAACTACCTCAACTATTGGTGCCGTGACATTTTCATACCTCATCTCACTACAAGAAAATTGGGCAGTGCACACAATAAATTATATGTGCCCTTTAATGCCAAAGGGTACTAACATATGTGCTCATTGGTCAATGGCAACAATGCAGCAACTATGTTTCCATATGTACCCTTTATGGGCGTTACCATTGCTGATAGCACACAATATGATGTTTTGTGCCCAAAGGCTAAGCACAAATACAACCCCTTTTGTGTCTCACCTCTAATAAAGGCTATTGAATGTATGGTGTAAGATGGGCACAATTGTTGTTTTAAAGGTTCAGATTGCTGTATAGATGTTAAAGCAAAGGCACCACAAGTTTAAAATTGTGCCACTCTATTATATTTTAATAAATACAATTAAGCTCCAGCACAACTTTAAAATTGTGCCACTCTATTATATTTTAATAAATAGCACAATTGTAAAAATGTGGCACAATTGGATATTTTTATTTAAATATAGAAATCATCTGGCTTGCTCACAGGACCTAATTTCCACCAAATTTTAGGAACTTACAAATCATCCATTACAAGCTAAACATAAATCAACATTAGCTTCATTAACATTAGCACTAAAATAGTGAAGTTAATATATTACATAACTCATGTTCTTGGCTAAGACCGATTCATCCAACCTAACAATACAACCCATCCAAATGTTAAACCAAAAAATACATGTTATCCTATGCTGGACATACCCGGGATTCTCTATATACAACAAAATACAACATATCCAAGCTTGTATCCCCAATTTAAACGTACTAATGGTTAAACTAGCAATATATAAACAAAATACTCATTTACAAGGTCTGCTTGATGACAACTAACCAGTATTCTCACTTTGGCAATCCTCATGCATCATAGCACTAGAAACCGGAGGTCCACACTGCACATTCTTGTCATTTCCACCTTCGAAAAGCGAAATCTGACCGTGTGAGCTTCCATACCCTTGTTGCTGAGTTAAAGTACTTTGTAGAGCACCCACTCCAAATGAACCAATGTTGTTGCCTACATGTGCCAACATGAATTTCAATTGCTCAGCCATTTGCACCTTTGCTAACCTTAAATTCTCCTCTTGTTCGGCCCTAAGCCTTTGTATGCTTTCTTCTGACTCTTTTTTCATCTTTTCCACTTTCTCATTTGCCTCATGTTTCTGAGCTTCATAAGCTTCCCGAAGATACTTCACTTCCCTAGAAAGACCTCACTACTCAGTAACAATTCCTAGTACATCTGCCTAACCAACTCCAAGGCCAAAGCCACGCACTTGATTTCGCTTCTCTGGCCCCAGCACTTCGGCATAAATCCTATTGCGAACCTCTGTTGTTACCCCTTCACCACACTCACAAACCTCCACTTCCAGATTTTCAAACGCCAACTGTTTAAAAAAGTCTTAATCATTTGTAAATACATAAAATTTCATTAAAGGTTGCTGGAAATAAATTTGGTCAAGTGAAAATGTACAAATTACCATCATTCTAGCAGATTCAGCATGCTCTGGAAGTTGCTTAGGTCCTCTTGTGTGTGTCATTCTGAAAAAGGTCACACAATCAGGTTCACATCCATCATGTTCTTCATCCTAAGACACCAAAAAAGATCCCGAAAACAACCACATCAAATTCAAAGAAATCTTAAAAGAATCAACATTTTAAAGACACCCAAATCTTATGCAAAACAAATCCAACTTTTAAGCAACCAAAGCTACTTCCTTCAAATTTTCTTCCTGGTCAGGTGGAAGTAGCCTTTTTAAAGTTGTCCCTCAAGGCAAAAGTTGTATGATATGAATTAACTTTATACATAGATGTTAAAGTTCTCTTCTAAGTGTGTGACAACCAATAATAATGAGAAATGCTCCATCTAATCTACAAGTATTATTTGTTCGAAGTGAATGAAATACCACGATTGCTTTGGAAAAAAATGGATTCGTTGGCTTCTTAAGTAATCTCTCAATCACTTTGAACCGTAATAGCAGTAGATTAGAAGTATTTTTCGACAGTACTATTGCTATAAAGCTGATTAAATTGTTTATGTAGATGCATAAATAGGGGCATGGATCTCAATACAGAAAAGGCCCAGAATCTGTTAGGGGAACACAACCAACAGCCATGCTTAGACTGCCTTGCTATTGCTGTGCCTAGGCTGCAGAAACAACATTGACCATCCAAGGGCAAAGCCTCTCAAAGACTTCAGAACCCTACAAACCCACTACAAGAGAAAACATGGGATCAAACCCTTCATGTGTACAAAATGTGGCAATCACAGTTACTGGTTTGACATTGGCCAAGGACAACCAAGTTGGCTTTGAGGACAATTATAATAGTAATGAAAACAAGTATTCATGGCATGAATGAAAGCAAATCACAAAAACTAACCTATGATACAAAATTAAGAAAGATCTTATTACCATCCCCAAACTAACCTATAAGTACATGGTTACAACTAACTCAAGTTATAACCATGTACTTATAACAGGAATGAAAACAAGCATTCATGGCAACATCAAATTATAATGGTAAAAGAATCCACTCACATAATCATTCTGTATTTGAATAAAAGTTGTTGACCCAGTTGTGTGACTCGTCTTTAACATTCTTTGATTCTTGGCATTAGTTGCACATCTCCGCTAGTTCACAACAAATAAAGAACACCACAAAGGAAAATAATCATTTTATCGAACCTTAAGTTTCGTTTCAAATAAGATTTAATGAAGTATAGTAACTATACTGTTGAAAAGTTTTACAAACCTTATTTTCCATTTTATCCCAATGAGCTACCAAGGCTTGCCATTGTGTTTGGATTACCCTAGCATCATCGCAATGCTTCCTCTGCTCGGAATTCTCAAAGGGAACATAATACAACTTACAGAGTTTAGCCCTCCATGTCCTGAAACGATCATGTATTTTCGTTTCCACAATACCCCTGACTTTCTCCTCATTGCCAGCAGCTCTTGAATTTGTCCATTCTATAGTGGCCTACATAAACAATAATTAAGTTGTCACAGAAAATTGTAACCATCCAACAAGTCAAATTTTACAAATTTGAAGTATCTATTGCATCAATACCTGGACCAACAACCACACTCGATCAAGTTTCGAAGAATCTATTTTGCGCCAATCAAGTGAATCAATTAGGATCAATCCACCATCACGAGCCAACATGGCTATGTAGCGGCCAAATCTGGCCACATTGTCACGAGGAGAAAAAGCTTGACCGAATCTGTTGAAGTTCAGGTTTTCACGCCTCCCTCTGCCCCACCGTATCCTGTTAACTCCCATATTCTTCTTTCGAGTTGTGGCTGACAAAGAAGTTGAGCCACTTGATTGCATATTTCCACTACATGTCTCATGGTGTTGGTAGGTTGCAAATGATTCATTTGGAGCGAGTACACCAAATGGGGAGTGTGGTTGAGTTTCCACAGATGCCAAAAATGCATCATCATCAAGCATCAGATTAGGCATCTACATTGCAAATTGCAAAGCAAATACACAATCAAAGTGAATATCCTTAAACTTTAAAGGAAAAATAAAACCTACTAAATTTTACGTCTCTCTCACTGAAGGGCTATCCTTTTCTCCAAATAAATATTAAATCAAATTGGTTGTGAAAGAAAACTATGGGAACCTTACATTGTAATTTGGTTTCAAAGCATGAGCAGCTGCAATGTAGATAGCCAATTGACTATACAACTCATTAGGTAAAACTTCTTTGGGGTGTCCAGATCCCCCAGTTCTTAGTGTGTCCTCAACCAATCCATACTGCAAGTAAGAAAAAGAGCAAGGTTTGGTAATTCAAGTTACGGGGGATTATTAGATAAGAGAACCAGTGGTTTCTTGTTATCCAGTATAGAGGAAACTGAGAGTCCATTTAAATTATGAATGGAGTATCACATTATCCTAAAATTATTAAGATAAGTAACAAACTAACCAATACGGTTCCAAAATTGTAAATTGCTCTATGGAAATCAAACTACAACAGAATCATTTTCTGACATTTTATAAGAGCGAAATTCTAATTTATTCGTAACATCAACGACAGGAGAAAACTCAAACTACATAATCAATCTTATTTGTCAATTTCATAAACATAAACATAGTAAACCTTAGTTCTATTTATCAATTTCATACCAAGCAAAAAAGCTGCAGCTATTGCACCCACCCACCCTCCCAACGACCTCCAGGTCCTGCAAAATCGGAGCACACCCAAGTTGAAACCCTTCTAATCCCAATGACTTGCACCCATACTAGATTCCTAATCCCAAACCCACTGTCCTCCTAAACCCATTGTCTTCAAACCATAAATCATATTCGACAATGAACATCCAATTTGACCCCAAACCGTAAAGAACAAAAACCCATTGAAAATTTGAATTTAAGAAACCTTACATGTGGGCCTCCTGTATCTCTGTGTGTGTCGCCGGAGGAATGCCTTTGAACTGGACAAATGAGCGGTGTTGAAATTGACGGACTCGACGGAGGAGCTGTGTTTGATTTTTTGGAGAGTGAGGGTGAGACGGACTGAGAGAGATAGAAGGGACTGAGAGAGATAGAAGGGGCCGAAATAGATATAGGGTACATTTTTAATTATTATTATAAGATTTAGTGGGCACAATTATTATTATAACAACTATTTTTTATTATTATTATAAGAGGTAGTGAGCACAATTGTGTATTACAATGGTGGAAACCCAAATTTTTTAATTTGGTGGTGGGAAATCCAAACTTGCACCATAAAATAGAGGGAGAAGTTCAATTTGGAGAAGGGAAACTTAATATAAATCCAATTTTATAAGCCATTATTAGTTATAGTCCAATTTTGAAGTTTTATCGAAGATTAATTATGTTTATCTACTTGTACCATCGGTTTTTTTTTTTTTTTTTATAATACTCTACTTATATTACAGATTAATTGCATATGTATAATTTTTTTTTGTTTGTAAATTAACTACCTGCATTGCTTTTAAAACCGCCAATCATTTTTTTTTAGCAGCTGCATGTTTTTGGCTAATTGCAGCACGTACTCGTTCCTTGTACTTCTTCTTGTAAGAAACTTAATGTGAGTTTCATCAAACATTTGACAAGTGTAATCTTATAAGTTAAGTGAGTTATATATATTGAACTTAGCCTAACTAATGTAATAATGCAGTTTTCGGAATTAAGACTTGGAGGGAAACCTAAGAAGATTCAAATTGATTTGAATCGGACAGTTGCATTGAAGATGTAGCTGGTGGTAACTCCTTTATTGATATACAAAATATATCAAGTTCAAGTGGTCATTACTATTGTGACAACACGTCCCTAATTTTAAGAGTTTTTAAAGTTTTAATAAAGGATTTTACAAAAATGCCCTTTTAGGCACGCGCATTATTCGAGGTTAATCGTTCTGTCATGCCATCTAAGATTTATTTTCTTGACATATCCTCGTAGTATTCGTTACTACGGACGTGTGGGCGCTGATGGTTCGTGATTTGCAGTTATATCGAAGAAGTTATTAACGTTTGAAATTTGGGATTTTAAGGAATTATAATTTTAGTAAAATCTAGAATTTCTTTTATAAAAATGGACGGCCCAGATTTATTGAAGAATTAAATGGATGGCTCAGATGTAAAGGAAAACAAAAATAAATAAATAAAAGTGAAGGAAGGTTGTGTGTGTGTGTGTGCGTGTGAGGAAGAAGAAGAAGAAGAGATTGGGCAGAAACTGTCCAACCAGAGGAAGAGAAAGCAGGAGCTCCACGAGAGAAAGGAGAGAGAGCTGACGAATCAGGAGAAGAGAGAAGGAGAGGATGGCCAATTGGAATAGAGGAAATGAGGAAAGGAGGGAGGGTGTGGCGCGGGGGATCGGCCGGATCCCCTTGGCCCGTTTTTGACCCGGTCGGCATCCATGCCTATTTCTAACGATTTTCACCCGTTTTTCTGGCAAATTGCTTCAAGAAACCTCTTGGGAAACACTCTAGGAGCCTTCCTCTATCCATTCCATCTCAAAATTGGAGAGATTTGTCCTTGAAAATGGAGAAAACCGCAATGAGGGGTGCGGCGGCTTTGGCTTCGAATCACCCAATCCTGAAGCAATTTCTTTCAATTGCCACCACCCATAGCTTCCTCTAGAGGCCTAGAACAAAGCCCAAGCATTAGTTGGAGCATCAGAGTTGATTTGAGGACGAATTGGAACTCACCCAATTCTAGGGCTTCGCACGGGTTTGAGAAAATTGGAGCCTTTCCAGGCCAAATTGGCCTTGGCCTCAGGTATAAAGTTTACTCTACTCATTGAGATCTTCAATTCTGTATTTTTTGAGAATTTTTGGAAATAGTTGGATTTTCCGACGAGCTGGGGCAGCCAACCGCCACCCGCGGCGGCCCGTGCGGCGGCGCGTGGCCAATGGCCCGCCAATGTCATTCTTAGCATGTGTTTAAGGTTCTAGGTTCAGTTTTGATAATTGATGGACGTAAATTGAGTAATTGAACCTAAGTTTGTTACGATTCGTGGTTAGGCCAAAAGGTGAATCGACGATCCAACCGTCGGATCGTCACCAAACTTTGATACGTTGTAATACGTAATATTTGAGGATTATAGAACTTACGGATCAGGAATCCGATTTACGGATCTTTCAGAATTGGAGTTGTAAGTTCATAAAATAAAATGTTAACCGTCACTTGGTTTTGGAAATTGACGGAGATCCGACCGTTGGATGGTAATGAAATTTTAGGATGTTGTCCTAGAGGTATATTGTGAACCTCTGGAAGTTATGGATTGGAAATCTGAGTTGCAGATCTTCTGGATCGAACTACGTAGTGACGTGTTTTATATAAGTTATATATTCTATCGATATGATTTCTGAGGTTGGATTTGATTATTGTTCTAGGCACCGATCGTCATGACGCCTTGATGTGTTGTGCTAGGGAGTTGTTGGACGAACTCCAGGTGAGTGGGCAGTATTTCTGTTTATACCTATATACTATTGATATTTTCCCCAGAAATTGAGTTTAAATGAAAGTACGTTTTAAAATGCCATGCATGCATATTATGAGATATATGAATTGATAATTGATGCATATATATATGTGAATTGGTGTTGTGGACACACAGGTGAGTATTAGGTGAGTTTTATGTTATTCCTGTGAATCATTGATGATGTGAATTGTGTTGAGAGCTCATAACCTGCACCCCTAGTGTTAGTGCTTATATTATTCACCTCACCACACGCTCACCTTGGATCCAAGTAGGTAAATGTCGTACATACCATGAGAGGGTTCCGACATGCTAGTCGTACAGACCATTAGAGGTGGTTCTGACTAGTAGGTGACCTTAGATTATGTGCACAGATGATTGATGAGAGAAGCACTAGAGCGTATTCTTACACCATTCTTATCGTACAAACTACTTTAGGTTGTTCCGATTTATGTGCAGAGTAGTGCCGTACAGGTCACAGTGGTGACTCCGGTTGGATTGGATATTAAGCTATAGAATTAACCGTACAGGACCAACTGCAGGGTCTCCGGTTGATTCCTTATTTCACCTGTTATAATGTTGCATCCATATTATGTTTTGATGCATAGCATGGCATATTTTTCTTGAAAAGTGTTAAAGATTTGTGAATTGAGTTTTGAGATTAATTATGGTTATATATATATACTATTTTTTGGGAAAGTATATAAGTTTTACAGAGAGGGGTTAGAAATGTTGTTAATTGAAATGTTTTCGAAAAACTTTGTTTTACTGACCCACTCAACTTTGTTTTGCGCCCCTCCAGGTTCTAGATAGCAGAGCTTTGGTGGCCACGAGGAATCCAACGGTGTTCTGACAGAATTCACAAACGTAGGACTCACCCTCGGGTGTTTCATCTTAGTAATTGTATCTCTAAAGCTTCCGAACTGTGTAAATGGTTACGTCACACTCACGTGACGACCATCATGCCCTCCTTCGGGACGGGGTGTGTCAGTTGGTATCAGAGCCTAAGTTGCAATTCTGGACATCTTGAGAATTTCCTAGTGTCTTCTCTCAGAACTATACCGTCTCGTAACGAGCCACGTTGTTCGGATGAGCCTAATTTCCCTGATATAGTAGTTTAGGGGGAAATTATTGCCATTGTGATTCAGTCTATTATCTAAAGGAACCTTTTGAGACTGGTTATAAGTTAAATTTGAATCACTTTAGGGAAATGAAGAACCTAAGGGAGCAGATCGATGGCTTAATCATTTGGGAAAAGACGTTTCGGATTATGCAAAGTCAAGGGAATCTTCCTCCCGACAGGTGGGTCGAGATGACTACCTAGTTTCTGAGTGTTGAATCTGCATTCTGATGGAGATAGGAATGTTATCCGATGTCATCGGAAGAACAACTGTTTGGAAGTCGTTTAAAGAATTGTTTAAGGAAAAGTTCATTCCTCTGACATATTATTATAGAGAGTTTACAGACTTGCCTTGTTTCCATTCGGATGTTGTTGCTAATCCGGTCAAGGTGTTATGTCGTTTTTGGCTAGATAATAAGAAGAAGTAACGTTCTTTGGCGACCACTATTCATTGCACTTTTTTTTACCAGGAGTTTACGAGATGTTGTCGAGCATCGAGGACTCTGAGAACATGACCAGCGAGAGTAAAGAGGAATAAGAAAAGAATGAGAATCAGAAGAAAGACGATAAAGTTAAAGATCCATCATATCAAAGACCTCGGAAGACTCAGAGCTTCCAAAGAAGTGAAACTAGAGCTAATTTTCCCAGCTGAGGTTTTAGTGCCACTGGTCAGATGCGAAGTGATAGATTTACTAGTGATCCCAGATCTCAGAGACAAGGTGACTCTGGTAGAGGAGATGTATCTTTGTACCGTAGGTACAATATTAGGCACTTTGGAGAGTGTGGGAAGTTGTGAATGTGTTCATGTGGTTAGATGAGACATAAAGGTATGAATTGTCCCTAGGATCAGTTGTTACCCAGCAGGCTTCCTTGACATATTACTTGGAAAATTGATGAGTAAGTCGTACAGGTCACTATAGGTGACTCCGACTTATGTGCTAACATGGATGGTCGAGTTGTAGACTCAGCCGTACAGGTCATTCTAGCTGACTCCGGCTGATATAATTCTTATTATGGATGATGTTGCCAAAGGAAGTAGTGAATGAGCACGATCGAGGCGTATATATGTATTTTCCCTGTGATGAGTAAAATGATAATATTGCACCCTTAAGAATTGTTGCTTACTTATCGAGACGACAATGAGTTATCGTTATTGTGGGCTGCAGACCGTAATATCCATAACTTATTTGTTGGATTCGTTAAGCAAGTAAACATGTAGGTCATTCTATGTCGGTTATGACTATTCAGGGTGTCAAGTGATGGTGGAAGAAGTAGTTATGCCAGTGAATCGTATCCCGTTAGACATCGTGGGCTTTGATGTGATTTTAGGCACAGATTGGTTACATTATAATTGTGCCAATATGGATTGCTACGGGAAATCAGTTACTTTCCATTGTCTTGGATTATCAGAGGTTACTTTTGTGATTGAGCAAAGTGGAGTGAGGCATGCCGTTATTTCTGTTGTGAGAGCAAAGAGATTGTTATCAAAAGGTTGCCAAGGATACCTAGC